CATTTTTTCCGGCGCAAAGAACGACACCGGTGAAGGCTGCTGTCGCGGAATTCGAACCGCGTTGGATATGTCGGTGGGCGGGGGCGAATCAAACGAGTGCAGGCTGTCGACCGGGCTCATAAGCGTGCGCCTCCGTTTTGGCGGTGATCTCGAGAAGGTTGAATCCGGACTGGGAGTCGAACTGGAATTTTCTTGCGTCTCATGAAGGGCGAGCGCTTCTTCATCTTTTGCGCGAACAAAAGCCTTCGCACGTATGTCCTTGCGTATGCGCAGCTTGACGCCTTGAGCAGCCAGTGCACGCGTTAACGGCGTGGATGCTAGATATGTGCCGAGAGCCTGTAGCGATGCCCCGAGAGCGGACAGGGAGACGTACCTTGCACGCCAGGATACTGCTTCCCCTGATAAACAAAGAACGGGGCAGAGAAAGTGGTAGCACACAATTTGACTTTGTCTCTGCGCAGGCCGTCAGTGTGCGTGTTACGGGCTGCGGACCTCACGCACCCGTCGATGACGAAGAGACTGAGTTTGAACCTCCAACTGCCCTCTAATCGCACGCATATGTTTGGGAATATAAAAAATGCGGCGTCCTGGTCCGTGTTTGGGTGGTCTTTCAGCACGCGGATAGAGGAGACCAGGGCACCAGACGTGCTGGGACTGCCGCCGTCCTGCCAAAATGAATATCGGCGAGTGGAATCGGAGGAAAAGCTTTCAGACATACACAAACATATTTCACCTCGGTGTCGTTGTGGGCCTCGACCAGCGCCGCATACATAAAATAATACGGATTCGTCAAATGTGAATGCCGAGCTGGTATCCTGGCGCAGAGGTATTAATTGTAGTCTCGCGACTGCGAATGCAAGGCTCGCTTACTGATGGGGATTCCTGGAGGGCGGCGTACTGGGTGCACCAATGTCCCGGGGATCTGTAACGGAGAGTTGCACAATAATGGGCGGGTCCACTGGACGGCGATCTGCTGATTAGAGCATCAGAATTTCCCCAATTTGCGCGCCGGTGTGGAGCTGACCTGAAATCTTCATCGCCGATATCCTGGCGTGCTGGGGTTGCTGACGGATGGTCACGTCGTATTTGAGGCTGACAAAAGGTGCGTTAGCGACCGGCACAGTAAGAACGGAACAACGCACTGGGCGCCGTCCATGGCGCAGTGCCGGGATCGATTGTGCGGACAGTGTAGCGTATACTAGTTTGTGGCGTTGGGGGTTTCAAAGCGGACAGCAGAAGTCTCGCTCTGTAAAAGAGGTCGGAGAAAATAGATCCGCAACTGTTTGCACAGAAACCTCGCGGAGGGAGCGTGCATGAAACGTATGTAGCAGTCGAACAGCCTGTAGAACCGAGTTAAAGTTGGAGCGGGTGATCTGGTCGGACCGAAGCACGGAAATTGAGTGCCCAAATTAAAACGCACGGGCCAGAGAGCCGGGTCCGACCTGCCCTTCTTGCTGTTGTCCCGGGAGTTGCCAGTACCCTCGTTTTCATGTACTTTGCAGTTAATATAGTTGCGCTCGTCAGAGAAACGCGATAGCCAAGTAAGTCGAGCGGCGTAGTCATTTGGTTACTCGTGATACTTGCACAAGTCAAGGCGAATTGACGAGATACTGAGCTATCAGTAAAGTAGGCTACTCCCGGATAGTCAAGATCTCGATAGATTCAGGTTAGTGTCCGAAAGTAATGATGCCAGGCGATTCAGTCGGATATCGATAGATGCATCCTGAACGGTGAGATCCTTCCATCGATGAGAATTGCGACATAAAGGTTGAATGAAGTCTTGTTGTGAGATATTTTGCCAGCACCGCCTTGGACTCAACCTTTTTAACTACATCCATGCCCCAAGTCGCAACCGAGGAAGTTCCATCGCACTGTTCAAACTCTCTCGTTCTAATATGAAGAGAGAAAAATGTAATGTAAAACACTGCTACTACTCCATACTTACTCGGCCTTTTTCTGACGATCCATCGATGAGCCCAGAAGACTCCAAGGAAACTCGCACAACTGGGCTTCGCGATTCCAATCCAAGACCAACTCGATTCCCAGTCGAAGCCGGTTCTCCAAGCGCGCAGCCCCACTATTTCACACTTTCTCCCACCCTCGAGGCATGCACACGTACACCCAAACGCAACTCAGAAAGTGGATGTCCGCATTCGGCCGCCATTGCCGACATTTCTGCGTCTGTCATCTATCTATCGCCTCCCATGATGATTTCGAAGATGGGGCGGCGCTCATGAACTCTCGTCCTGGGCAGGGCATCGTATTCCCTGTGGCGTCCAGGCTGGGCTTATCTCCGTTCGTGTCGTAACGGCCAGGTGTAAGTATTGCGTGCGCGGCGAAATACGGCGAGGGTACTTGCTGGGCGCCACCCCTTTGATTTCGCAATCGCGCACTCCTCGGATGACGGCGTTGAGGGATGGCTGGGCTAGATGCAGGCTGGCTTGCGCCACCCGCAGTCATGCTCTGTATCGCAAACGCCAGGCGGGCATGTCTCGAATGCCACCAGGGAATATGCAGGCACTGGCAACTGCCTTGAGGTAGGTATGAGTAAGTAGAGCCGAAGAAGTTAATTGTACGGCGCCCATCCTTCATCTCTCAAAGGGCTTTGTATCGCGGCTAATCGGCTGGCAAATAAACTGAGGTGCCTATCAGTCTCATCGGCGCTCGTCGTCTTCAAACTTGGAATGGTTGCGCTGAGATGGGTAGTCTATTTAATTGTCATCGTGAGTATTCCCTTCCTGTTGAAGTTGTATGATGAATCTGAATTGCCTCATAGAACTGCGGAATGTTGGTGCTGCACAAGATTTCCTCCGAGACTAGGCATTTGCGAGTCGCGGCTGAACATCACGCCTCCCATCGATCCAACCTAATTAAAACCAGCAATATTATTAGTATCATACGAGGGACCGCCCAGACGACGCGTCGTCTCATCTAAAATATACAGCACTTGGCCGAATGTCTGCATTTCGGCTTCTCCTCTGACGTGCGTGCCCGTGTAGTTATCCAGAATCATCTGGTGCAGCATCTGTCGTGCACTGCCGATCCCCTGAAGCACCTCACGCCGTACGTTGATCTGGTATTCTAGTTCTGTGGTGGCTTATGTTCAACTTTGCGCGGGCTATCTGTGTATCGAACTCACGTCGCAACTGGCGAGTCTGGTCCTCGAACTGCGCTCTCAGCACGCGGAGGTTGTCGAGGATCACATCCGTCGCTGTTTCTAACTCTGCAATTCCTCTATCAGCGAGAAAATTCTTAGAATTCAAGTCCGTGTGTACCTTCGATTCGCGCGTTTATTTCGGATGAATTAATTGTTTTCTGTGCAGCGTTGCCGGTGGTAATGGTATCTTCACCCAAAGCCGTCAGTTATAGCTTTTGTTGGACACGGAAATGAATCCGATCCCACCATCGCACATGTCCCGCTCCTCGTTCAAGTGCCCAGGCCGAAACCTATACTCCTGCCTCCGTAGCCGCTTCAGCTGCGTGGCCTTGCGGTCTTGGAACACCTTCAGGAACTGGGCGTATGTCGGGAAGAACTGGTCCTTCGTCATCTCGAACACGAACCGCGGCTTCCTGTCGCACCCGACCTTGTTCGCCCTGCACGGCCGGCAGGACGGATGGTCCACGTCGATCTCGCACTTGCGCTTGATTTTGCTGTTTTTGCAGCGATCGCACGCCTGTGCACGATAAGGGAGGGATGGCGCATAAGTCAGATTATGGACTCAAAAGATATGTTTAAAAAGACGCGATGCGTCCTGACCTGCAGATTAGTCTGATTCCAAAGTATGATCTCCTCCCCGCCAATCCACTTGCGCCCCGCATGATATCACGTCGTCACCTCCGCGACCCGCTTCCAGAACCTCTCGATCGTGTATGTGGAGGGGCCGACGTCCGGCAGGCTCATTGGTATCGGACGATTTTCCGCCATCCTGAGCCGCCGCCGGGGTGAAAATGAGCCTGGTGCGCCAGGATGTTGGGTGGAAGGGAACAAAAAGGCGCAGGCGAATCACGAATCTCCGCGAATTAAATAAGTGCGATCACATTGCAATCACATTTCGCATCTGATCTCCGTATCTCCACACAGCCACTCTGCGTGCGTCTTAAACACGGGGGCGGACCGACGGCGAGTTTCGCGCTCAGTCGGATTAATTTGATTTAATACTTATGTTGGTTCAAGGTCTCCCAGAGAAGGACTACAGTCCTAGGAAGAAGAGTCACCGATTTTTTCTGCGAGAAGAAGGATTTTGGCGATAAGTATGCCGACCGTAGTACGACCATGAAAATCAGGTGGTACAACATCGGGCGTCGGCGAACAGGGGCATCAGCGCAGGTTCAAACTCGTCTTCGTTGGTCGAGGTGCTTGAAGGCGAATGATATTTCCTGGCCATCCAACCTTGTCCCGGGCCAACGTATGTACACGGATTTATCTTGTCCATCCGGTAGCGCACATCTGAGTCCTGACAACCGAGCCTGGCGAAGAAATACGAAAAAACCAAGAAATGAAAAAAAAATCCTCTACTGAAGGTTCGGGAATCGAGTCCGATTAATTCTGGATCTGTAGCAAGTTCCGGGTCAGCTTGAACGCTCCATTTTCGAAAAACCGCGACGAAAAAAGAAAAAAAAAAAAAACTCTTGCTTCGAAGTGGGTCCGTGCTAGCGCGGTCAGCTCTGAAGCTTAGTTATACAGCATTCGTCCGGAAACTCCAAGACAACTCCAACACTTTGAACTGGGACTCGGAGTTGAACGGAAGAAAAAAAGATGTACACAGCCACCAGTAAGTCCCGGGGATATGTTCAACCTCGTTCAACCGTGCCACCACCGACGTTCTGTTCTTCGCCGCGGACAGGCCCAAGTCGGTCGCCCTGCCGATTCGAACAAAAAATCTAGTTTCTGGCTCGAGTAGTCTGCAGTTTTATTCTTCTCAGTGGCATCATGATGGGAGGGAGTCACGCTCAACATCCCGTGTTCAAGGAAGGAAGAGGGAAGAAGGAAAACAGCGACAGACCCAATGGCACAGTTGGTTAGTGCACCTGCTCACGCTGAAAATACCTGCATGTAAGCAGTAAGCAGGAGGCCCTCGTTCGATTCGGGGTTGGGTCACTTCATAAAAAGCAGGCGGAACTTTTTGATTTGGTCTTCATTTGAAGGCTCGACTCATTATAATCCAAAGGAGGTATGGACCCACTGGCCATGGCTTGGTATGAACATGGTCAGTCAGTGCACTGCACCCACGTACTTGAAAATTCCGTCAATTTCAATCAGTATCTGGTTATAATTATTTTCTACAGAACACTTACAGCTAAAAGAAAAACGATAAACATGTTTCGATTTTAGAGCAAAGTTCGGCTAAGCAGCTCCAGCGCGTCAGTCACAAGAAGCTCCGCGCAGTAGGGGGAAATTCTGTATTTATACTAGAAATCCGCTCTCTAATAAGAGGTGGGAGACAGCCTACATGCCTGGTACCTCCAGGCAGACTTCAGTCAATTTTTAGGCACTTCGCAGAGTGAAAAACATAGCTATAGGAAAAGAATTGAAATAGTGCACACGCTCCACAGTTATGTGTCGTCGCGAACTTTGCTCTAAAATCGAAACATGTCTATCGTTTTTTTTTTAGCTGTAACGCAAGACCGAAATCTGGACCAAACCTTCAAGTTCTTTCACGGTGTCCACTGCCAGTGCACACTGGAGATTACTTAGTAAGTATAGCGCCTTCATTTGGCCTTCATCCTCATCGGACCTGCCGGTCTTGAACTGAGCGACTTACAGTTAATATTAATATTCGGACTGGCCAATCATGCCGACTCGGTCTGAATCAACGCAGGAGCTATCAGTCAGCTACGGTGCGGAACCTAAAATAATTCACTCCAAATTTCGTTACTCCGAGTCGCACTGGTACCATGTGAGTTATAAGTTATGTAGAATCCGAATGGCCATTAAATAATAATAACCATTAGTAGCCCCATAGTAGCCAGCCGAGGTTGATTCTTGATGGCCCCGCTGCTTCGGAGGTGCACCGAAACGCGGGGCAGATTTGTATATATACTAAGTAATAGAGAGAGGAAAGCGGCCCGGAGACTAGCCGACCAGTCTTCCCAAGCAATGCCCAAGCTGGCATCCGAGTTCGAGTCCGAGTCCAAGCCATTCAAATCCGAACCGTTGCTTACCGACTCGAACTATCTACTGACACGACTAGAATTTTCTGTGGAATTGGGGTTACAGTACTATTTCTCCTTTCCTTCTGAATGTGCATCATATTTGAATTTACTTGAACTTCAGGCCTAGGAGTTCAGGTTGAATTTACATGTATTCAACATTGGCATTGGTATGTAAACTCGGATATTCAGGGATAGAAGATGGATATAAAGTGGTGGCAGATCCAATGGCACAGTTGGTTAGTGTGCTTGCTAAGGCTTAATTCGCGAGTGCTTGGTAAGCAGGAGACCCTCGTTCGATTCGGGGTTGGGTCATGACTTGAAAGGATATTGTGTTTTTTTTTTCTTTTCTTTTCTTTTTCACTTGCCTTTTGAGTTTCAATCATTGCTTGATCTACTTAGATTGTAAGAGTCCGAGTCTCGAAGTTCGAACTGGAGTTTACTTATTTTGTGATTCAAATTATTCGATCTCATGAACCTTCCATATGCATCACGATGGCCACCGACGACCCATGGGCTTGGCCAAATACGCGGCTATGGCTACATGTACTTACACATCGTTCCTTGACCCTCTCCGATACAGTGATCAATGTTCAAACTTCGAAGTCCGTTCAGGTTGAATTTCCCTCACCTACGTAAGCGCGCAATGTCATCCAACACACGTGCAGATATACAGCAAGTGGCGGTGCAGCCCGTCGAAACGAAACCAGTCGCACAAAGCGAGGAAAATTCAGTCGCGCATAGCGAGCTTTCTAAAGGAGTGCGAGGATGATAAGGACAAGGGCAGCTGTAGCATGAGCATGAAAAATATCATATTTTTTTGGGTTGTGTGCATGCAGAAGAGATAATTGTACGCGTCATCCCATCCCGGTGCCTCGAGGAGTAGAAAATGCCTCCTCCCCAGCGTGTGGAGTAGAACGCAGCGCCGGCGTCTACTCCCATCCCCCGCCGGTGGCAGCGGCGTCCCAGCCCGAGGCCGCGGCAGTGGGCTCGGCAGCCCAGTCGGTGGATGCGCCGCCGGGGGCGGTGTCTGCGGCCCAGTCGAGGGCGCCTGCGAGCGTGTTAGTACGAGTTGTGACTTGGAAGAAAAGGACGTACCGCCATCGGCGACAAGCCCCGGGTTGATAGCGCCAGCCGTGGGCCCGCCTCCGACGTCCCACTCCGCCGCCTGTGCGGGCTCCTCGTTGCCCTGGAGCAGAGCCGCCTTCGCCTCCGCCTCCTCCTTCTGCTGCTTCTCGACCTCCTCGGGGTCGCGGTAGAAGAACATGTCGACCATGACGCTCCAGCCGTCGCTCGTGCGGGGGATCGTACCGCGGAGGCGCAGGACCTCGCGGGCGAGGAGCCACCAGATGAGACCGATGGAGTGGCGGGTCTTGTTGTTGGTGGGGATGGCGACGTCGACGAACTTGAGCGGGGCGTCGGTGTCGCAGAGGGCGATGACGGGGATGTTGACGTAGGACGCCTCGCGGATGGCCTGGTGGTCGACGCGCGGGTCCGTCACCACGATTAGACGCGGCTCCTTGAACGAGCGCGTGATGTAGTTGGTGAACGACCCGGGCGTGAAGCGGCCCGCGATGGCCTGCGCGCCGGTGTTGGCGGCGTACTTGAGCACGGCGCGGTGGCCGTACGGGCGGGCGGAGATGACGCACACGTCGTTCGGGTTCTCGACCGCCGCGATGATACGGGCCGCGAAGACCAGCTTCTCCCAGGTCTTGCCGATGTTCAGGATGTGGATTCCTGGGTTCAGTCAGAATCCATTGCACCCACACCGAGAAAGAGTCCTCCTCACCGTCAGGACGTCTCTTCCACACATACGGCTCCATCTGCTTGTCGCAGTTTTTCGTGCCAATGTGGCATTGCGCAGCGAGCAGGAGCTGGATCTCCTCCTCAGTCGCGCTCAGCACCGCAGGTAGTTTCGAGGCCATAATTGTATAGAGTTACCTGGAGAAAAGAAAGAAAGAAAAAAGTCAGTAAAGGACATCCGGATCCCAAGCCGCGCATCCAGCTCAAATCCAGCCCGTTTGCGCTGATTCTGCAGCAGGACGACAGCAAGAGGGCAACGAGACTAACCGTGAAGCTGTAGGGGCTTCGCTGTCGGCTTGGTCGACCTTCACGGAGTTTTTGAGTGCGGAGTGCGGGCGCTGGCAATTCGATGAATACTTCCCACGTGAGACTGATCCCATCATACCCGGGTCTTTCCGACGTCCATCAATTCAACCACAACAACGCCAGCGATTCATTCTTTGGAGCCACCTCCTGCTTGTTCTTTCGCTTCCTCGTCGCCCGAACCTCGAGATGTTATAACTGCCTTGGCACATTCCCATTGCTGGCTGACTCCGAGCCTCCGGCCGAATCTTGCTCCTCAGAGCTTCGGAGGAAACAATCGGATGTCGCTCGAAGCTGCGGGGCCCACTCGAGCCCACTCGCCGAAACCCTGGTATTGATATTCTACCAACGTCGGCTTCGGGCGCCCTGCCGCGAACAATTCAACAACTTCGAACGTTGACATCGTTGTAACTCGGATGCCAATGATATCCAACCATCACAGCCTGAGCGCGTGCGCGTTTATCCCTGTCGACCTAATCATGATACAAACTATTAACAAAGCTCAAACCCAAGCCTGTACGTCCTTCTGGCTCTCAACTCTCAATTTCTTCTTCAACACTCCTCCACCGCCGCTCCCGTACACGCGTAATACTCAGACACTCCGACCCATAAACTCACAAATCATAAACCGCCGTTCCGAGGCCGAATCCGCCACATAAGTATTAACCTAGTAGCTAATCAATTCAACGCAACCCTCGGCCCACGACCCTGCGCTGGATCTCCTCGTCCTCTGCTCAATGCATCTTGGTTGTCTTAGACTGTCCAACATCCAACATCGAACCTCTGACATCCGACACGACATCACATCGAACGCCCGACATCCGTTCGAGTGTTACCTCTGGAATCCCATGGCCAAATCAACCAAATCAACCCCCTCCCTCCGGATCCATCGATATCCCCCTCCCTCTCTGTCGGCAGGTCTTACAGTATCCAAGTTAAGCTTGAGGAAGCTTATTCGACCTCTGTCCTTTGCGCCCTCGTATCATCTTATCTTGTCTTCTCTCGTCTGCCTAACTCCATGACCAACTCTACTCATCCTAGCGTCTCAACCTCCCATGTCAATGTAAATGTAAACACGCCTCACGTCGTTTAATTCTACTCTATTCAATTCGAGTCCGATATCGGCCCCGGGCCCACAGCACTAGTATTAAATATGTCAACGTTTCTTCCACTTGTTACATGTGCATAATATAATTCATATCGCGTCTGTGTTCCTTCTTTCTCCGAGAATCGAATCTATGTCTACATTCCTTCCCTCTCCTCTTCGAGCCCTGAGGCTATTACTAATATCAAACCAGAATGAATGCTGTACTGTAACCAAAAACATGCAAAAAAAGAAAGAAAAGAAAGAAAAGAAAGAAAAAACGTTCATCAAACCCATATGACCCAACCCCGGTTCGAACGAGGGCCTCCTGCTTATTCAACTGCTCACAAGCTAGTCTAAGCAGGTACATTAACCACTATGCCATTGGGTCGACAGCACAGAGCATTCATTGTGGTATTAACCAGAGCGGTCGGTAATTGTGCTAATAAAAGAGACTCATGGGCACCCCAAAGACCAAAAAACGTTCCTTCCATCTTCGAGCCGAGCCCTAATCACTATCAAAATAGAATGAATGCTAGAAAATAAAATAAAAATAAAAGTTGACCAAACTCACATGACCCAACCCCGATTCGAACGAGAGTCTCCTACTTAAGTAGTGCGTCACTGGATGACTTTGAGCAGGCACATTAACCACTATGCCATTGGGTCGACATCATAGAGCATTCATCGTGGTATTAACCAGAGTACGGATGGTAATTGTTGTGTACAGTAAGAAAAGAGACTTGAGCAGGCGCCCCAAAAACCAGAAAAACGAAAATAAAAAAGTGCAAAGCAGAGAAAGGATGACCCAACCTCGATTCGAACGAGGGTCTCCTGCTTATTCCGCACCAGCAAGTTAGTCTAAGCAGGTGCATTAACCACTATGCCATTGGGTCAACATCACATATCATTCGTTGTGGCATTAATAAGAACACGGTCGGCAATGGTTTGAACGGGACTGTTTGTGGGTCTAAATTCAACTGAAGGCCTAGGCGGAAACAATTCTTCTAATAAAAGGGATCTGTTAATATTGAATATCTTCTATTCAAAGGGAATATTACCCAACCCACCCTGTCAAGCTCATGGAGTCCAGTTTGATCTAGACTTGAGCAAAAAGAAAAAAAAGAAAGAAAAAAAAAAAAAGGGAAAAAAAAAACACTTGACTTGTGGTACCATACTCTAGGTTCAATTCAACACGGGGAAAAAAGATTGATCGATCAGAATGTGACCCAACCTCTCTCCTCCTCCTCTCAAATTCATTCCAGTTTGAGCCACAATTCCAGCCAACAGAAAGCGAATCCCTAACCAAGTGAGTCAAAAGTCAGAAAGCCAGAACGAAGCAAAACCAACAAAATATACAAAAAACGAGATTATTGAAGCCAAAGCCAAAGACGATGACCCAACCCCGGTTCGAACGAGGGACTCCTGCCGCACAACTGTAGGAGTATTTGATTTAGAGCAGGCGCACTAACCAACTGTGCCATTGGGTCGACGTTTGCTTAGCTTGCTCCTCAGAACATAATGAATCTTTGAATTCCTCCGAGTAACTCCCGAGCATACTTGGTTCGATATTAACACGACAGGCTGGTTATGCATGACCTGGATTGCTGGATAAAATAAAGTCAGCGCGAGCTGGATGTGCGCGGCACGCACCGATGAAGGTTGAATTCAAGTTGAACTGTACTTGAACATGGTTGCCGGGACTTACCGGCGGCTGTGTCCTCCTCTTTTCTCCCGGTCACTCAACGATTGCACAAACTCAGAGCCGGAATTGACTTATGCAACTTCAGCTTCCCGACCGGTGCTTTCTCAAACTGAGGCTGGAGTATCTGTAAGGTTAAAGTGGGGGGTTTGGGATATATGGATCGTTATAACTAATAACTTATACATGGTGGAGTCCTCTTTGACGATGGCAATTCGTTCCTTGTCCACGGAACACAGGGGGTATGTACTCAAAAAGGTTCATAGCATAGCAGGTCCATTGTCCATTTACGACCCGAAGACATTCCCCCGGACATGGATGACATCCACACCGCTGAGCGGGCCAAGTTTCTTGGCTTTGACAAGTATGAACACACGGTGCTCTCAGCTTCTGGCGCGACCGGCATTACTCACTTTGAAGGACTCCGATTATTCATTGTGTCGATACCCGAGGGCTGGTCTCCTCTCTGGCCCTGGAAAAACACCGACTCGGATGAGGATCCGAGTGACTTCGAAGACAGCGCCAGTGTTCCGCCGTTGGTAAGTGTACGCCATTTACCGTGCGGCTGCTTTTCAACTTCGGTGATATTCCAGTCGGGCAGCCTCGTTGCAACAAAAGAAATGTGAGACAAAAGACAATTCATCCTGCCGATTGCCAAATTTTAGGTGTCATGAGACTTTTCTTGAAACGCAAAATTTCGAGTTGAAAAGTGAGGATTGTGCGGGGTTTTTCTTCTTTTTATGTGATGGTGATTAGAAGAATGTCGTCGATGTGTTCTTTCCTTCTTCGCCAAGCGTTGTCTTGCATAAACGAACCAAACGGATGCCTATCTCAGATTCAAACATTAGCAATAAGGGCGAAGCGGATGGATCTGAATGTTAGAACTAAGAATAAGTCTACAAGAAGTCGCATCTCCAGAACGGCGCGCGGTTTCGGACACCTGTTCCAATCATCAGCAAACTCCAATAGTGTTCATTCGAGAGACAATTTGTTACCGATTAAAGCCACTTATCCGCTCTCATCAATAGGCGCTCCTGCTCATCGCACGTAGCGGCATATTTTTCCTCGTAATCGTCTGGGAACTCCTCAACCACAGGCTCGATGCTCGAACGCCGCTTGAGGAAGTCGTCCGGGCCGGTAAAGTCCCCGCCGTAGCGCACGAGGACAGTCTCCACGAGGGTGATGCAGTAGTACTCGCCCCCAGCCTCGAATAAAACGCAGGGCTCACAAAGGGGCTTGAATGCGATCGGCCGTACGGTCCCGCAGATGCCGAAGACGCGTTTGACGTGAAAGTCGATCTCGGTGAGGTCGTGCCAGTGGCTCGGGACTTTAAAAAAGCACTCGGGCGAGCCCGAGTAGATGTCCTCCCAGTCGGTGGAGTATGGGGCGATGTCGAGGGTGGTGCGGTGGAAGTCGGCGTAGACGGGTTTGCGACTTGGACTTGAGGTGGGGAGTTCTTTGACCTAGAAACTACGGGTGAGGAGTTATTTAACCTGGGTCGAGCGATGAAGGTCGAGGCTTACCGGCTCGCCGCCGGGCTCTGGAGCCTGGAGTCCCGGACCGGCGAGGACGAATCGCTCAGCCTGGGGCCGTAACTGGGTGCGTCTGCGGTAAAGGCGACGAAGGTGAATAGACAGAAAGGGACAGCCACATGCAGCCCTCGCAGAAAGTACCAGGTTGGGAAGACGGCGCAGAGCGTACATGATAGGAGTCTTTGGCACTCCGCTGATCACATCACGTTGCCCCTTCCCTCCCTACACATTCTTCAATATTCGCTCTAAGTCAACTCCTCCCAAGTTCGCTTATCTCGACAAATATCTCGAGGCAAGCAGAGGCGTTCCATTCGTGATGGTACATGTCGATCGCAAACGCCTCGCGCGAGTAAGTATGGGTCGTTAAATCGTGATTTATCATTTGGCCTTTTGAGACCTCGGAAATTTCAAGACCATTGGGGAATTTGGCGCGTCGACGTGTATTTCGGCTTCTTACTGCGTTCCCTCCCTTTTCTCAACAGTACTAAACCTGCAAAAGGTGGCAGACTGCCTCAATAGTGACCGGCCGAATTACTATACATTCTGGCTCGAGTCGCAGACAATCGGTGTTGCTCCGAGTCGTAAGCTGTGGGACCATAACCGTCCGGAACCCTGTAAATCTACCCCACTGGCTCGTCCGTGACTGCTGGCCCGTCTAATGATACGCACCTGTGCCCACTCGCGCATGACTCAACACAACTTAAACGTTGAACAATGCAAGTCTCGATGCTAGTGCCAGTGATGTTGAACCAGCGCGCGCGCATTCCGATCCATAACATAATTCAACACTGGTAGACACCCCGAGCCGTTCCGAGCCCACACTGTGACATATTAACCTCGTATGAAGCTAATCAAGCGGCGAGTCGACCTTTGCTCCCTGGCACCTCAGACTTGCGCGTACCACCCGCCCGCTCGATGCATTTATTATTTGTTTGTCCAATGATGCATTTTTTGTTTCTTTGTCCAACATTCGACATCCGTTCGAGTATTGCCTACAAGTAGCTCCGAGTTTCAAATCAACCTTCGATCCATTCCCTTCCTTCAAATTCTGTCCTGCAGTACCCCGGTCTTACAGTATCTAAACTATCCGACCTCGCACCGTCTTGTCTTGTCTGCCTAAAACCCCATCTGTCAGGTTAATACTCATGCTCAACTTGCCATTCGTACACACCAATATCCAAACACGCAAAATTGTTCAATTCTATTCCGTACATCAACATTCCTGTCTTTGTCAGTACCATGCCGCCCTCGCCACTGGGTCCACAGTACTAGTAAGTACGTGTTTCTTCCGGCTGTCTGTTGTCCGCTGTTGCGTGTACATATGGTGTCCGTGTTTATTCTTTCTCCGAGAATACATGTATCGAATCAAATCTTCTATGTCTACGTTCATTCTCTCCCTTCTCGAGCCCTAATTAATATCAAAAAACTGAATAGAAGCTCCAAAATATCCTCAAGAAAAGAAAAGGAAATGCAAAAAGAAAAAAAATACAGCCAACTGAGGCCATGACCCAACCCCGGTTCGAACGAGGGACTCCCACTTGTCCTGTATCAAATGGGCTAACTTTAGCAGGCGCATTAACCACTGTACCATTAGGTCCATGCTCTTTTGTCTTCTGTAGTACATGTAGCTGTCAGGAAGGAGGTCCTAAAGTTGGGAACCCGAACAAAAAAACTCCTTGGGTGGGCATGATCCAACCCCGGTTCGAGCGAGGGCCTCCTACTTATGAAGGACTTGCCAATGGAATCTAAGCAGGTGCATTAACCAACTGTGCCATTGGATCATTGCAGGCTTTCTGTCTACTTAGTCTATTGTAGCATAGGTTTTATTCAACTTGGGGAAAAAATATTGACAGACCAGAGTATTGACTCAACCTAGCCTCCTCCTCCTCTCAAGTCGAGTTCATTCCAGTCCAGTCCAGTCACAATAGGAAATCTCGCACTTCAAGTTCTAAACAATTCCAACAAAATAGGAAGAATAACAAAAAGAAGAAGAAAATCCAAGAGTTCTGGGTCCAAGATGACCCAACCCCGGTTCAAACGAGGGACTCCTCTTTACTCGAATGAAAACCAACCACACATTTTCAACAGATACACTAACCGCTGTGCCATTGGGTCGAAGGCTTTTCAGTTTCAAGTTGGAATGCGAATAATATTTCGAGTCAAGGCTCAAGAAGATCGTCAGCGATTCCTAGTCCCTACATAGGAAAATAAGAAATACGTAGGTCGCGGCAATTTCAGTAATACTTGGAAATCTCAGTAACATCAATTGCTAGAAATAAATTTCGACTTCCAACCCCACCGCTGAGCCCAGTCCGAAACGCAAATCCGTGACCAAAGCAAATATTATACGAATTAAGTTGTATTTATGTATTCGCAGCCACCTTACCCCCATCAGGATTCCACGGACCCACATCACTAAGCGAGCACCCACCCGTGCACTCACACCGCCCACCAAATTCCTTAGGCAAACAACCGTCATCAACCTGCGCGCGCAGCTCAGGCTCATACTCCTTTGGCCCCCCAAGGATATGTACCTTCCCCACCGTGACCTCGTCCAGCCACGGCTTCACTACGCCCCACACGGTCGAGAATCCCATCGGTGCATGCACAACGTAGAACGCGCCCATGCATTCGGGGTAGTAGTTCTGCCCGATGTGCGTCGCGGCGGCGACGTAGTCCTTGACGCGGAGGAAGGTGGAGAGCGAGACGCCGCCGAGGTCGAGGATGCTGAGGGACGTCTCGACGGGGTGCCCAACGGCGGCGGAGCAGGCGGGGAGCCGCGAGGTGAGGAAGGCCTCGTATTCGACGACGAGGTTCTGGAGGAGGCGTTCCTGTGTGGTGCATGCGTACATGGCTTTGACCTCGAGGTCGCCGAGGCGCTGGATGTAGATGGGACGCCCGGACTGAATAGTATTTCAGCCTTGCGAAAACGGGGAATCACGGTGGAAGCACTTTGTCCATGTTCTATGAAAGAAACTCAGCTCGAGTCAGTGAATTTTTTCTTTTTCGCACAAAACACCTACATGATAATATTGTGGTAGGTACTTGTCGACCTCGGCCCTTTCGGCGAAGTTGAATGTTCTGGGCGCGCCAAGATATGAGTTAATTATACTATAAGCAGTGAGTGAGGCTACCCACTTGACTAGCTCTTCGACGCCAAACTCCTTCCGCCATTTCTCGGCGGCGAGAAGCATCTCCTTTGCCTTCGCCACGTCAAATTTCCGCGCGCGGAGGAATCTGAGACATTGTCAGTGCGAATGTGAATGACGGTATGAAGGAAACGAGAAGAGAAGAGATTATTTTCCCAAGGTCCTCAGTGCATAGGCATAAACTCTGCGCGTCCGCTCGCTCTCTGTGCACGGTACTAGTGGACCAACGCACCGTAGCAACGTCGCGTCATCATGCCGCGCCTCGACAAACGCCCCCTCAGCGCGTAACTCCTCAGAAATCTTCGCGAGTGCGGCCTCCTGTTCCGGCGTGAGATTTCCCAGGTGACCTGGTGGTGGCGTGTAAGTCGATTTCGTTTGCGATGCCTGCTTTTCGGCAGTGTCTGCAGTCATCGTGGATCTCTAGTAGATATTTATCGGTGTTTGAGGCAAGGGAGAGAGGACTGTGGGCTTGAAGAGTTGGAACGTGCGTCATTGCTCACGTTGGAGTAGCTTTTATTTGAGGCGCTCCGTTCAGAGCACAGTTATAACCAGTCTTTCCCTAACAGGGCTTTCAAGCATTCTGCAGCTGTACTTGTCGTCGGTACACCAGGGTCCAGAGAGCTATCCAAAGTGCCTGTACTTGCTGTGAGTTGCTGTGAGATGCGGCAGACAAAGCCCGGACCGGCACGGAATCGTGATCTACGAGTAATATGTAGCTTGACTTGACTCGGAGCGTGCCAACGTGCTGGATCCTTCGAGAGGTCGATCTTCTTTCACTTGCTGCCGCGGTAACCGTATTGCAGCATATTGCATACTTCAAGAGTGATTTGAATTGTTTGTTTCTGAGGCGCCTCGTCGGATCATGCGGCCCGCCTCGCCGCTCGCTCTAATTGGATGAGATCGCTACTGACGTGATGCCTATTCCAACCTTGCCTTGACCTTACCACTCCTTTTCATCCAAATATTTTCAATGGCCATTGGACCGTTCCCCGTCGATTCGAATATCCGGATACCTTATCTCTCTCACAAAAGACTGTGTTCCGTTACCTCAGGAGCCAGAATCTGGGGATTTTGGGCTCGACATGCAGCTAGTGGCTGGTGAATTCGGAAATAACTTGTTGGAACTGGGCAACACTGTTTCAGAGGCTCGACGTACTTAACAGCGGTTTGAAAACCCATGATGCCTTTCTGTCTCTACCTCACCTTCAATTGGCGTCCAGTGCTGTGCATCGCCCGACAAGAACGGTCACGGTTCTCACACAAACGCGGCTTCGACGGGACTCCACCTCAGAATGGGGACTGCACGGAAATGAATGTGCCGGTACGTATAGTGCACGTCCCCTCTTTTTTCGTTAAAGGAAATGAATATTGAATAAAACACAGCCCACGAACGATGCAGAGTTTTGCCGGTTGTAAGCGCTGGGGTCGATTATTCCAAGATCCGGCCGAATGAGAAGGTACGTCTCCGTATACATCGTGGCGAGCTCTTACCGACCTGGTTGAGTCGTTATCGTGAACCTACACATGAGGGCTTCCGCCGCTCATCGTGACCGAGCTCTGAGCGACTTGGGTGAGTCGTTATCGTGCACCTACACATGAGGGTTTTCACCGCTCATCGTGGCTGAGCTCTGACCGACCTGGGCGAGTCGTTATCTGTTGCAACGTGCACCTAGCTTCTGCCGCTTTAATGGAGGCATTTGTGCAGACAACTGAATGCAGCTTGTGGATCTTTTAGAAGAGTCTTTCCTATCGGCTGGTTATCAATGCAAGGACGGGCTGCGATCCATTCACCATGCTCCGTTCGCCGCGGTCAACTGAGCGCCGTCCTTTTCTTGTCATGGAAATAACTTTGTTAATCAAGATATCCAGGACGCGGCAACACGGACACGATCATCGGGCTCGATCGGTTTCGGAGGTATGTCTACGTGTACATTGTGGCCAGCCTCCGACCAACTCGACTAGCATACAACTTGGCGAGTCGAGATCTGGCGCGCACCGACGCGTTGGCATCAGTTATGCTTGTCAGCTCGCGCCGCTTAAACGGCCCACCCATTCACGCTGCCAACGGGCACCATGCGGTTTCGAGCTGTCTTTCCTACTTGCTACTTATCAGCACAAGACCTCTTGAAGAAATGACATGACATTTGAAGGTCTTTCTCATTCGCTCCGCAACAGGGCATAACCTCCGGCACTCGATCGACAACTATTCCCCCATGGGCGCGAAGCCCGATCGCGAACGCTACGCATACATATGTTTTTTCTCGTCTGCCCATGAAATGATAGATACAGGTCCTGACTACAGCGACTGCGACATCATCGCGATTGTTATTTAGGCCAAGAGATATGCCAGAAATTCCATGCGTACAGTCACGGGCGTAGTCTGACCAAGCTCGACGAATCAATGATAAGTAGACCTCATATGATCAACATATGATACCGAAGCCATTGACCGCCGCTCTAGTACCCCAGCGAACAATGCACTACAGCTTAACGATCTCATCCATACATTGCCAGATCCTCCGCAGCCCAAAAAACGACCACTGTAATTTTTGCGAAAACGAACGCAACTCTTGTCTCGATTAACTTAACCCCAGCCTTAACATCCACTGCGGCCGGTCAGGCACCGACGCTTGTACTGCCCACTTATCAGCTCGCCGTTCTACCGCCTCCGCAGCGCCTGCCTCGACTTGGCTTAACCTCAAGCCTCAATTGCTTCTAGCTTCTCATGGTTTGGTTACCCTGGGCTGCACCTGCTGGCCGGCGTCCTTTCATATCAGCGAGACCCGGACCACATTCATATCGCACTGCTCGGACGCAACACTTCATCTTTTCGGTTCATATCGGCGCACCGCGAGGTAGAGTGATTTTAATGTTTATTACCTCTCGGATCCGCCACTGGCTCCGAATCCTCTCTGCCGCCGCACACGATCACCACTAGTACTGGGCACGCATACGGATAATTAAATTGCGATTTGCGATTTCCGACCTGCAGCCGCCTGGCGCCGATACACATTTCCGCCGAGTCTCTCCGGATTGCGTGTCGCGCGTCCAGGGTCATCGACTTAATTGCACGTTCATTCGGTATTCGTTGGTTGTACCGCGTGCTTTTTGCATGTCTGGACCCACTCTTCATTTCTCGAGCCAGCACAGCCATGCATGGACGGTCTACGCCCGTCGGATCTTAACTGCGCAGTGATTCTTCTTTCTGGCTGTCATGTACTGCCCCAGTGGAACCGAGTTCAAGAACGATTGATATGGATATGGATAAAGTTCGGGCTGCGCGAATTATTGAGTATCAATGGAATGTACGTTTCTGCACGTTTTAAATGCACGTCCTCATCCTCGAGATCTCGCGGCGGTAAACCGGGTGTGCAAACTCGTACTGGAACCTCAACAGAGCCTCGGTAGCCGATTTTTTTTCTGGTTGGAGCTCCGACCAACTCGGCACTGGTAATCATCTTCAAGGCGTCTACGTCGTCGAGAATGAAAACAGAGTTGAATCTCTCATAACAAACGTACGATTGCTGCCGAACGCGGACTCTGAACTCACCTTGATCCGCATGGAGCTAACGCGCACGGAAGCGTCCTTTTTTCGTTCGAACTTGAGGGTTTGCGTTCAACGATTGGCTGGAGAGCTTTCTTCCACCGCCTCGCGCAGAACTGCTTGCCCCATCTTCCGACACAGTCCACGGTTCTTTCTTTCTCGCGCATGAGCAATAACCTTCGGGGCGCCTACTGTTGATTCCGTGATTTCCCCACGAGGTGCTACCCTGCAAACCTTATATGTCTGCGCGTTAACTCGTTATATAGTTTTGCGGGAAAGCTTGCGCCGTGCCTTTGCGCCACATGACGCGAGGGATAGCACGCGATTATGTGATTTCAACAGCTATCGAGGTTTAACAGCAACGCCTTCGATAAAGAGAATTGAACCTTGCCCCAAAACTTTGAAATCTACCTTTGCTCTTC